CTGTTGGTGACGATGTTGTCGTAGATGTTATTAATGGTCTTGCTATTACTATGTGTATATAATTGTTATTATTATTTTTGGCGTTTTTTTGTTCAGTTTGCTGTTACAGCTGCTGTCGATTATCATCACTATTGCCAGCACTCCACATTCCGTATCATTTACTACTGTCATTATTGTTTTATTATCCATCACTCCCCTCCTCCTTCTCCTTCTCCTCCCCCTCCCCCTCCCCCTCCCTCTCCCTCTCCCTCTCCCTCTCCCTCTCCCTCTCCCTCTCCCTCTCCTCCTCCTCCTCCTAATCTCCTCTTCTCCTCCATCCCCTCCTCCCGTTCGTTCTACTCTTCCTCTTTTTCCCTTCCCTGTCCTTCCCTGTTTTCCATATTCTTTCACCTTTTCTTCCACCTCTTCCTTCTCCTCCACCACCACCTCCTCCTCCTCCTCCTTCTCCTTCTCCTTCTCCTTCTCCTCCTCCTCCTCCTCCTCCTCCTCCTCCTCCTCCTCCTCCTCCTCCTCCTCCTCCTCCTCCTCCTCCTTCTTCTTCTCGTCATCATCATCATCATCATCACGGCCACTCTCTTTTCTCATCGTATCCTCCTTATCTCCTTATCTCCACTCGCTAGATATCTCCCCGCTGCATCTAGAAGTTGCATCGTAATCTAACGTCCTCCAGGAATATCAGGTTCCTGGAAAGAGATAGATAAGTGTTCAAGGTCTCTTTAATCGGAGATAAAACAGTCATCTTAAGACGCGTAAATTCCTCGAGATTTTTTTTTTTTTTTGGTTTGTGTTACTGCCAGTATCATCATTATCATCATCATTGTCGTAGTTATCATCTCATGATCATTATTATTATCATCACCATCATCATCATCTCCATCATCATTATCATCGTCATCATTATCACTAACATCATCATCAACATCATCATCATCAACATCATCGTCATCATCATCATCATCATCATCATCATCATCATCATAATTATCATCATCACCATCATCATCATCATCATAATTATCATCATCATCATCATCATCAACATCATCACCATCATCATCACATCATCATCACCACCACTATCACCATCCCTTCATCGTCATCATCACTCGTCACATCACCAGTTTAATTCTATAACGATGACTGTTATTACCATTACTTTCACCGTCACCATCTCATCAGTTAATCAGTCGCCATCGTTATCATTATTAACTTCAAAATAATAAATAATGACAGGACATCCAAGAACGCCTTCGAGCTAAGGAGAACGAAGAAGCGACGTCTTAAAAAGGAGATTGTGTTACATATTAAGGAGTTGCTTGGGCGATGCCGATGACACGTGGTGGGGTGGGCGGGCGGGCGAGGGCGAGGGGTGGATTGGGGTGGGTGGGTGGGTGGGTGGGCGGGCGAGGGATGGAGATTGTTCGGTGGGTGGGTTGGTGGGTAGGTGGGCGAGGGGTGGGGAGTGTTCGGTGGGTGGGTTGGTGGGTAGGTGGGAGGGCGAGAGGTGGATAGGACTGTGGGTGGGTGGGTGGGCGCGTGAGGGGTGGGGAGTGTCCGGTGGGTGGGTGGATGGACGGGCGAGGGGTGGAGAGTGTTCGGTGGGTGGGTGGGCGGGCGAGGGCGAGGGGTGGATAGTGTCGGGTAGGTTGAGGGTGAGGGTGTGTGTGTGTGTGGAGGTTCTGATAGTGAATTTGATGACGGTGGCGGTGCTGGTGCGAGTGATGAGTTTTGAAATGTGGATTAGAATTTTGCTTGTGTGCTATGCGTTAACACCTTAAAAAGCTTTCATTTCTACTGGGGTAAATGATATTCTTGTATACATGGGCACACACGCACATTCACACGCACATGCACACTCATGCCTCTCTCTCTCTCTCTCTCTCTCTCTCTCTCTCTCTCTCTCTCTCTCTCTCTCTCTCTCTCTCTCTCTCTCTCTCTCTCTCTCTCTCTCTCTCTCTCTCTCTCCCTCCCTCTCCCTCCCTCCCTCCCTCCCTCTCTCCCTCCCTCCCTCCCTCCCTCCCTCCCTCTCTTTTACTCTCTCACCCTGCTCATCCTTTGCATCATCACATCCTCCTCCACCACCGTCATCACATGGGACCAACAAACACTGGGCGGGATGGCATTTATCTATGCATCAGCTGATTGTTATCTGTACTGGGAAGTGCACCCACCGAACACTCACAGGGAAGGAGGAGGAGAAGGAGGAATAGGAGGAAATAGAAGAGGAGGAGGAGGAGGAGGAGGAGGAGGAGGAGGAGGAGGAGGAGGAGGAATGGAAAGAAGGAAGGAAAGATGGGGAGGATGAGAAATAGATAAGAGAAGGAGAAAGTCATGGGGAGCGAAAGGGAACAGGAGGAGGTTAAGGAAGACGCAGTGTGAAAGAGGAGAATGAAGAAGAGAAGGAGGAACAGAAACAGAATATGGAAGAGGAGAAGAAATAGCAAATGATAAGAAAAGAGTGAATATGTGAAGAAAAAGAGAAAAAAGTAAGGGAGGATAGAGAAAATGGTGGGAGAGGGGAGAGAAATTTGGGGGAGGGGAGACTGAGGATGAGTGAGGGAGAAGATGAAGGGGAGGGGGTGAGAGGGAGAAGTGCTGGAGACGGGGGAGGGGGCGAGCGAGGGAGACGGGAAGGGGGACGAGTGAGGGAGACGGGGGAGGGGGACGAGTGAGGGAGACGGGGGAGGGGAGGGGAGGGGAAGGGGTTGCTATACAGGGAATTGTGAACTCGGGCAATGAATCACGCCCTGCAGTGTTGGCTGTTGTTGTGATGAAGTTTATTCTCCCGGCGTTTGTGAGCAGCAGCACCCGTATTTTTTTTCACTCTTCGTTTTTTTTTTTCTATTTAACTCGATGTTAGGAGCGGTGATAATAGTGTTATGATAGCGTTATGGTAATGGCAATAGGAGTGCGCAAAAGGAGCTTAGAATAGTAGTATTAGCAGTAGTTAGAAATAAGATGATGATTGACGACATTGGTAGAAGTGGTGATGATGATACTGACGAAAATAGTATCATCGTATTACATCATTTTTATGGTGAGTGATGTTAAAGATAAAAAAGTCCTTTGATGGATTAGATACGATGTGCATCCGGTTCAGATCTGATAAGAAGGAGAAGAAAAAGTCTGAACTGAGTGACTCACCAGCGCGGGAAATTCAGTAAACGGTTATTTTGTTTACTTTTTTTGTTTTGTCTTTTTTTTCTGCTTTTGCGATCAAGTGAATGTATTCCATTTTGAAGTGAAAGATAACACTGATTGCTTATTTGGTAGTGAGTTCAGAGGTTTGAAATTTGCGTTAGGAATTGTTATCTTTTGGGATTGAGAAAATGTCAGAGCGGTTTTTTTCTTTTCTTTTTTTCACATATTTTTTTACATAATGTTGTATTTGATTCTCAAATTGGCGGCTGAAGAGCAACGTTTTTCTTTTATCTTCAAGTGAGGTCGTAGAGTAAATGTCGTCTGTCGCTTTACAAAGTAACAAAAAAGGTTTATATATATTTTTGTCTTTGTATTTTTTTTACCATGTAAGTAGTTTACACACAAAACTTGATACATGTATTATGCTTAAATGTTTCTTTTCTCTATCAAAAACTACCATTACTCAAACAAACAACCATCAAATGATTGGATGTAGTATCTTCATTATGAATATGCATAAACCATTCAGCGAATTCGATAAAAGGAACTTCGATCATCATAACCAGAACGCATTTAAATATAATCTTTATCCGGGTCGTCGATAATCAGAGAGGAGAGAGAGTGCAAACGGAGATAACTTTCCCGGGCGATTTGAGTTCACGAAGGCACTAAATAATGGAAACGGGTGATTTCCATTTTTTTTTCGGTTAAAAGAAAAGAAGGCTAAATAACTTCAGGAAAATGAACACTTTTTTTTATATGTCGAAGGGAAGAATAAGTGAAGTCTTGGTCCTGTTGTGTAGTTTTGCGCGAGAATATATAATGGTTTGCGGAGAAAAAAAAATGGTAATTGGAATTTCCAAGGAAGAACCAACATCAGACAAGCGCGTTGGTCGGTTGCAACAGCGGGAGAATGAAGGTTGCGATAGTCGTCTCGTTATCTTCTGTATTTCAGTCAGACAAGGTTGTTTCATCGCGATGAATTTATTCATTTTCTTTCTCTCTCTCTCTCTCTCTCTCTCTCTCTCTCTCTCTCTCTCTCTCTCTCTCTCTCTCTCTCTCTCTCTCTCTCTCTCTCTCTCTCTCTCTCTCTCCCCCCCCCCCCCTCCCCCTCCCTCCCTCCCTCCCTCTCCTTCTTCCTCTTCCTCTTCCTCTCCCTCTCCCTCTCCCTCTCCCTCTCCCTCTCTTTCTCTCCCCCTCTCTATCCCTCTCTCTCTTTCCCTCTCTCTCTCTTTCTCTCTCTCTCTCTTTCTCTCTCTTTCTCTCTCTTTCTCTCTCTCTCTCTCTCTCTCTCTCTCTCTCTCTCTCTCTCTCTCTCTCTCTCTCTCTCTCTCTCTCTCTCTCTCTCTCTCTCTCTCTTTCTCTCTCTCTCTCTCTCTCTCTCTTTTCCTTTCCCTCTCCTTCTCCCTCTCCACACACTCACTCACTCACTCACTCACTCACACGCACACCCACCCAGACACAAACACACACACACTCACACACACACACACACACACACACACACACACACACACACACACACACAGACACACACACACACACACACACACACACACACACACACACACACACACACACACACACACACACACACACACACACACACACACACACACACACACACGCTCCCACACACAACTTCGGCGAACTGCTTATGCAGCGCTAGTAGTCACGTCCGTTGCAGTGTCATTTTCATATCTATAATTATTTGATATGATGAACTTCATTGTCAGATCCATAATAAAACAAGATAAACACGGCATACGAACGCGTCTGGCGTGAGTGATAGGAATTCGCAGCTGATAACCAACGTTTCGAGAGCGGGGCGAGACACTGAAGGTAACTTGTTCTGCGCA